ACCCAAATGCGACGAAGACTATTTTGGACTGTATACTATTTGGAACGAGTGGTATCAATGTCTTTAGGTCGTCCATTCAGTATATCCGATCGTCACATTGATCTTGACCTCCCACTGGAAGTGGACGATGACATTGAAGATCCCACACTACTTACAGCACCCCTAGATCCAAACAAAACCACAAGCTTGACATTCGCAATTTATCTCTTCAAACTCCGTCGCATCGACTCCCGCATCCAACATAAAATCTACCGCGCCGACCGCCCTCTATCTTCTCTCCGACCAAAAATGGACCCTCTATACCTTGAACTGGAACAATGGAAGGAATCCGCCCTATTGCGATTCAGCGGCCCAGATCTCGACTACCCAATGCTGCACTTCAACCGAGCAGTCCGACTATTAATCCAGCCATTCCTCCCCCTCCTCCCAATCACAGACCCATACTACCAAATCTGTATCCTGGCCGCAGGAAACATATGCCAATCCCACAAACGCCTACACCAAACCCTGGAATACGGCCACTCCTTCCTAGCCGTGCAAACCGTCTTCATGGCTGGAATCACCCTTCTCTATGCGCTATGGACACAAACAGACCAAGTCTGGTCGGTCCGCATGAGCAACGACATCCGCGCTTGCTCAACAGTCCTCTTTGTAATGGGCGAGCGCGCAGCGTGGGTCAAGAAATACCGCGACGCCTTCGAGCTGCTGGTCAACGCCGCCATGGAAAAACTGCAGGGCAATGAGACCGCCCGCAACGCCGGAATGGCAGAGCTGATGGCGGCCCAGTATGGCATTAATTGGAATTCTACTACTGCTCCCGGCATTTCTGGGGGTGATAAGTATCCCCAGGTCAATCCGACAGGGCTGGCTCCTGATACTGCGGGTGGTACGCCGCAGCCGCAGGGTTGTCCGGATGATGCTTCTGAGCATGCGGTTAGAATGGCCTTGCAGTTGGCGCCGTGGATTGATCAGGATGAGAGTGATCCTCTGTGGGTGCCTGACTTTGGGACTTTGGAGAACCTGTCTGGGACATTTTGGAGCCATGATGATACGAGACTTTTCGATCCTATGTGATGTCCTTTTTGGGGTGTTGGCCGTACATACATGCGAGAGATGGAAAACGATACCCTTTGAATGAGATATAATATGGCAGATCATATTCCTGATATTCACTCATTATGGGAGCTTTCCCGTGGCTGTTTCACGGTATCATTGAAAAGGGAAACTATAAGACTCGGTAAAATGCGAGCATCCCACTCTCCTTTCCCTCCCGATAAGGCAATTGTGCCGCGTTGCTTTCATCATAGGGTATGTTCGGATGTATTCAGCACATTCACCAAGCCCAGTCACGCTTGCTCGGCGTTGCGTTGACTTGTTCAATGTTAGGTCTGGCGATGCGAAGTAGTCGACTGGGATCAGCGTAGTACGATGGCCCCATGTTACAAATTTTTAGACAGGATTTCACGTTTATGATATGTCAAGGGGGTATATCCGTGAACCAGCTTGCAAGATCAGGAAAATCAAATCTACCAAGGAATCCAAATTCTTCTTGTCCCATGCTCATCTCATCCCACGTTGTGAAAGGATTGATATCCACGTTATTGGTTTCGTGACGGATGTTGTGTTCGTCTAATATCGGCTCAGTAGGCTGCGACGACAAATCGGGTCCGGTCGGTTGTTGATTGCCCCTTTGGTACAGCTGAGGAGGAACCAACGAGGAATCACCAGGCCGACAAGTAGCTATACGAGAATCAGCCTATACCGAGTGAGGTCCCATTACCAAACAACCAACCTGAGTAGTTTTGCATAATATGTTGGTGAGTCACTTGCAAGAACTGTAACGAGTTGCGGGCAGAGAGACTGAACATAGCCATAAAAGCTAAGATCTCTTCGCACTTGCGCCAACTCTCATCCACTATCTGTGAATCAACCTGCTCTCGGATAGAATGGCACGAGCATGACATTATCAGAATGAACCCTGCAGTCGATGTGTCTAGTACATGTTAGTTGACGAGCATCAATGACGAGTGGAATTAACACGAACAGAATCCATTGTACCACCACGCATCAGTTAGACTTGTTCGATATGTCTCATGAACAAGTGAGACCAGGTCTATGGCTGCTATGACGCAAGAGGCGGCACATTTTGAGTAGACCGAGGAGTAGATTATGTTTTTCTCGCTGGGTTGTGTATCAGAGCGGCGCGATGGCCCTACTCGCTCATCGGAGCAAAGTTGAGTAAACATGGGGCGATATAACAAAAGGCGAAGGTGGATGAATCTATGTTTCCCCCTTCTGATTAGAAATTGTAACTCAAAGACCCAAGAGAGAAGCTACCTTGCACGTAACACATTCTGCTGACGCTTGAAGGTTGACGAATTGCCGCTTGAGTGATGCAGTGATACCTCATTTGTCCAATTCAGGGGCTGGGGCACGTTAGTCTCATAGGCAGCCAGTTTATCGTCGAGTTCCATCAACACATCCAAACTACAAAGCTTGGAGGTTTGCAGCGCATTGGTGCGAGATTTATTCGATCGACTCTGCCAAGCGTTATAGACCTCGGACAGAACGGACTCGAGAATCTTGTATAATTCAATGGATGAAACGTAGAACGTCATATATCCCAGCTTATGATCACAGGATTGCCCACTAAGCTCACAAGGATCAGATTCTTGGGAATCCGTTCCCATTACAGGCAGAGGCAACGGTGAGAGATGCGAGGTCATGCTGGGTCTTCCATGTGTCATGCTCACAACCCTATTTTCGTTGGTTAGCTGTGTCTTCCGAAAAGAAGTTAGAAGAGCGATTGCACCAACATATCCATAATGACGCAGCTGTGCCAGGTACGCCGTCGTATTTCTGTCTCCAGGGGTTTGTTCGAGGCATGTGTGGTTGTCTCGTGTAACCCCAGTCCTTGGCCAGCTCGACACGCCAGTCCAATTGCATTCCAGCACCGAATCGGATAAGGGGTGCTTTGAAGAAGAAGTGAAACAATCAAAAGTGTTTGAACCACGCCGATAGTGCCTATGTCCAGGAGGTCAAGATTCACAAATCGCTTTGCCCGAAGGAAAAAAGAATAAACCGCGGCCTCCCGGTCGGCAGGCGGAATATCAGAGAAATGACAGCCAAGTGCAAAGACAGAATTGAGTGCGCAATGGAAGACAATGGAATTAGGACCGCAATCAAATGCGCCCCCGAGTCCGATATTGAGCTGTGGCAACTCGGGCTTGGATGCCTTGTCCGAGCCCCAGAGGTTTTCATACGCTTGCTCAAAACTGGGGCGATGGAAAAATGGGAATAGACAGTGTACTCTGTCCCAGTAACACTCAAGAAGATGGTCTGCCAGAGATCGAGGGGGCAAGGAGAAGTCGTCGAACCGAAGATCTACAGTTGGATGGCCTAAATCCCGCCAGATCCCCGTATCAGGGCCCTGTGATCTTGGCTCATTCTTGCTATCTCGCAAAGCCGACATATACGACTGCAAAGGTATCGACTCCCCTGCAAGACGCATGAAAGAGGCCACCGAAGAGTTCCCATAGTATTGCTGCTCCTGTGGAGAGTTTGTGCTTGGGCCGTCTTCTGCAACAGATATTGCACCCATGGCCGTGACATTGCCGTGGGAGTTGAGAGATGGCGAAGGATATATACTGCTTGCTCGTGGGTGGGAAGATCCAGGAGATAGATGTGCTGCATGTGGAGACCTATAGCGCTCAGCTTCCGGTCGATTCCTCTGCGGCAATCCTGGCGGTTGGAAAGCAGGTGTGGAAGAAAGGGGACTTGGTCCAGATGGCACAGGGGTGGAACCCAGCCCTAGCAGTCCTTCTGCAGCAACAGATGTCCTGTGTTCTGCGTCCAGATGATCCAGATCCATACCTTCACCTATTTGACTTTGACTTTCAGATGCCCTGTAGTCTCCATGTTGTGATGGCCCAGGCGGCACAGCAACTCCGCCTTTCGCACATATCTCTTCAAGCTCTCGAATACGGTTATGGAGAGTTTTCAGGTATTCATCGTTACTGGCAGACCTCACATTATCCAGCTTGTATACACATTGGTCAACGGTATACGAGCGTCGAGCGCATGGGCCACAAATTGGCTTTATACCATCGCACCTGACCTTCTTTTCTCGACATGATTCGCAGGCCAAGGCAATCTTGCGACGGCGTGGCTCTTTGGTAATTCCACCTTTAGGAGGCATTTGTTTGGCCTTAGTCCTATAGGCCAGGGTAAACCCACAGTATGGTACTATTTGATTGGTGATCCGGATGGTGGCCGCAATAAAAGGCAGGGGCAAACGAAGTGGAACAAACCCGGGACTGTGTCCGGAATGTACCCGGACAATCACGTGTCAATACAAACCGGCGAAATTAGCTCCAAATAAAATAGAGAAAGGGAGAAGTGTGTTCCTTTCTTGTCTCGAGATCAAGGCCAATGAACCCTGCTATAATTAGGCTCGTTGGTCTGAATTATTGGAGCGACATCATACGTGGAGCCCCGGGATGCACCGGGTATGTTTCTACAGGGGGCATCAGGAGAGAAATGCTTTGACCGGTTGGCACCATAGGCTGGGGGAGGTGATTATTGCGGTGTAGGGGTGTACTAAGTACCAAAGTTCTATTTTTTACTCTATGTGCATTGAATTAAATGGGTTGTAGATCTATATTTTGAGGGTGCGGATGTGGTGCGGATGCAGCTGCGGATCCGCAAAGACCGGGTGCATTCCGGAATTGACGTAGGGAACCCTGCAAGGTTGGCTTCAGTTTGTAGGATAAAGCTGGCCCTCCCCTTTATCCAAGTCCAAAATCCAAAATCAAGTGCTGTTATCGTTGTGTCTTTCCACAAGCCCAATATCAGAACATCAAAGCCAAACTCACCAATCGGGCAACATCTAAACCCCAAAGTACAATTTCAGCCGGATATCACCTGGTACCTGGACTACCTGAATACCTTTTAGTCAAAGAAAGCAGCCTCACATCCATTGATATCTTCCACAACCCGAAATGGAGTACGACAATCAGACGCTTCAAACGGGCCGTAGTACCCCTTCACATTACTGTCCCTGGCAAGCCGAAAAACCTCAATCAATCTCCCGGGAACAATGGCCCACCGAAGAAGGTCTCCAATGGGGTTCAGATCCCAGATTCTGCTATCACGGCTACTCTAGTCCCATCGGCACCTGGACAGAGGAGCGGGTGGTGCAGAATCTAATGCGGAACATGGCCAGTTTCTGTACCAGCATGAACATGGGACTCGATGTCCCCCAAATCACAGACGAGCCGCCTCAGAAGCCTATACTGGATGCATCACAACTGAATGGATTCACACTTCCCATGTTCCAGCCCTCAATGGTCCCACAAAATGAAAGACTCTCCGAAACGCCATCCTCGCCATCTTCATCTTCATCCTCATCGAGCCGAGGCCAAATGCTCTCTCCAGATGATAACAAATGCTCACAACGGCCAAGCTGCATCAAATACAGGACTCAGCCTGGGCACAAAAAGAGAAAATGTGTACAATGGCCAGGACAAAAATTGTGCCACTGCCGATCGGAAAAGAAGAGAAGAGAGTTTGTTGGAAACAAATATAAAGAACTCTCCCGCATTGTGCCAGAGCTTAAGGAACAGTCATACACAAGGAAATATATTCTCGAGGAGACTGCACTGTGGATTCAAAGTTTGGTCCAGGGCAACGATGCCCTACATGAACAACTGAGGCGGTTAAGGGAATAGGAAAAGTTGAGTCAGTTGGATGAAGAAAACGGGGGCCACTGGTTCTAGCATTGATTTTATAACGTGTCACGGTCGCATGTAACAATAAGATGGCCTGTCGTTCAAGGTATAAGTGTAGGACAAAAAGCAAGTGCAAAAGGGATTTGGGTCTTGTCTGCTTCTAATAACATTACATTCAAGGCTATACATCAAACGCTTACACCTCTAGCTTTGCCTCACACAATACAGATACTTCCATTCTAGATCCAAAGAATCATCACACCAAATCAAAATAAGGCAAGTATTAATACAAACCAAGCACCTTAATCTACCAAGGAGGCGCAACGGCCGCAATCCCCTTTCCCAATTTCTGAATCTGCATAGCATAGTACATCTACCAAACCAGTCAGCAAGCCTCTCAAACCACATAGGGAAAAAAAACCTACACTCTCAGCCCCAGCCCCAACAAGATGTAACGGCAAGAAGCGCGTATACCACGGAACAGGCGCCTTATTCAACGGCAGCTGGGCCTCATCATCACCAACACTCTCATCAAGCAACAACTGCGGGAACTTCGGATTAATAGCCGCAGGCCGTCCAATACCAACAAGATCACAAGCATTATCTCTTATAGCAGCCTCGGCGCCAGCACGCGTGCGGAATCCACCAGTCAACATGAGAACGAGTTCAGGATGGCGCTGTCGCACCTCCTTCGAGAACTCGAGGAAGAAGGCCTCGCGCGCTGCGGTGCGTGAGGATACCGGTGCTGCAGCGCCGTGGCCCATCATTTTCGGATCTTCGTAGCTGCCGCCTGAGATTTCCATGAAGTCGATGCCGGCTTCGGCTAGGAGTGCAATTTGTGTCATTGTTTCTTCGAAGGTTGCTGAGCTGTGGTCAGCGGAGTTTAGCTTGATGCCGATTGCGAAGGCTGCTGGTACGACTTTGCGCGTTTGGGAGAGGATCTCTAGGATGAAGCGGGCCCGTTTTTCGGGAGTGCCGCCGTATGCGTCTGTGCGGAGGTTTGTCTGAGTTAGAGTTAGTAGGTGTGTTGATAATGGCGTTGGTAGTTTGGGCTGGAGTTATAAGAGAGCCAAGGATCTCATACCTTGCCGTTGAGGAATTGATCTAAACAAAGGAACCATCAGCACAAATGTTATCGAGCCATGCAAAAGGGAAAAGAAAACACACCGACTAAATACCCATGCGCGCCGTGTAGCTCAATACCCGAAAACCCAGCATCTGCCATAAGCCTCGCGGTATCAACGAATTGACTAATAACCCTCTCAATATCCTGAGTGGTCATCTCCTTGGGCTTGGACCAAACCAGGCACGCAATCAGGCTCTTGAGATAACCATCTCCAACCTTCATGGGTACGGCGCTGGGCGCGAGGGTCTGCGCGAACATGCCGCGGTAGCCTGCAACGCGGAAGGACTGTCGGCCTGGGTGGCAGATCTGGGCGATGGCTGGGGTGCCGTGCTTTTGGCAGGCGTCGGCGTATTGCTTCCATTGCGCGACTAGGGCACTGTTGGTTTCGCTGTCTTTGTATTCGTTGTGTAGGGCTGGGTCGAAGGGGCTGCCCATGTGGTTTACATCGACTTGGACGTTTCCTAGCGGGTGTTAGGTTGTTGTTGGGAATGAATTTTGATAGTGTAGGGTGGAATTAGGGTCATAGCTGGGGCTTTAAGGGTTGCATATGTTTGAGAAGTTAGGGGCCATTTGGGGTATATCTGGGAAGGCTTAGACTCAAAACTGGGGCTTAACGTTGTCGCATTTGCCATAGAATCTCAACCTCGACATGGCATTATTAGACCTTACCTGTAAGAATACTACCCCATCCACCGTCGGACCATTGCTCATAGGCATCAGCTAGGGTGTTTGTCGGCTGGTTAGTTTTGGCAATCATCTCAGCCATTGCGGCCTGAGAGGGGTTAGTTTCATTTGTGTATAGCCATTAGATATGAACAATGTATGGGATTTGTACCTTGCTCAGCCGATTCGGCAAAACCAGTCCACATGGGAGCTTGACGGGGTCTGCGAGGGGAGATGGCATGGCGTACGTGCAGATTTCGTATGCGATCAATATATACAGTATAAAGGATATGGTCTAATGCAAGTGGCATATATATTCAAATCCAACAGAAATTTAGGCCCCCGACTGGTCTCGCGGAGAGATTGTCTCCCCGTCGGGTGTGGAGTCTCCCGAGGACGGGAAGTTATGTTCATCCGGTAGGGGTTTTTTGAATCAACCGAAGATGCGAGGACTGAAAATGGACAGTTGGTAAATTTGCCAAGGTAATATGTAGGATGTATAGAAATTAATTTTGTTCATTCATATGGCAACAGCTAAATGCTAACTATCCCCAATATGCAACCAAAATGCGAGCCAAAAAAACCAAAAATAAGTGGGTATTCAATCAGGGAAAAAGAAGTTCGTGTCCAACCCGAAAATAGGCAGAGAAAAAAAAAAAAAAAGTGCGCTTGAAACCAAAGGGGGGAGGAAATATGAAAAGTCAAAAAAGTGACATGCGAATCCATCACGCAGACATCCTAAGCGCTGACAGATTAGAACAAATGCTTTTTTTTCCTGCGAAATGCAGTATGCACAACCAAGCCAAAAAGAAAGAAAAAAATATCAAATCTTACAGCTTGGCATTCTTCTCCTCAGTCGGGGAACCATTCGCTGTGATAGGAGGCGAGATTGTTCCCAGACTAGAGAGGAGGTGACCGACCTCGCGCTCCAGAGCACGGACCTCGGTGTGAGGGTCATACATGCGGGACTTGATCCAGTTGTCCAGCTCGATGTCGCTCATAGAGCGGAGGGCAATCTCGCGGTCCACCTTGTCCTCCTGGGCAGCGCGCATCACCTTGCGGGTGACGACGATGCTGACCTCACGGATGCGGGTGATGTCGGGGTAAAGCAGACCACGCTCGAGCTCCTCGCCGGTGAGGGCAGTGGAGAGGGCATCGGCGGAGGCGTAAATCATGCTGTCTGTGATGCGGACGGCCTTGGACAGGATGCTGCCGAGGCCAATACCGGGGAACACGTACATGTTGTTGCCTTGGCCAGGGTAGTAGGTCCGGGTCTCGCCGGCGGAGTTGGTGAAAGTGAAGTTGGGGAAGGGAGAGCCGGAGGCGAAGAGACAGCGGCCGTCGGTGTGGGTGACGGCGGTCTCAAAGTCACACTCGGACTTGGAGGAGGGGTTGGAGAGGGGGAAGATGAGAGGGGCGGTGTTCCAGTCAGCCATCTTGCGCAGGATCTCCGGGGTGAAGACGCCGCCCATGGTGGAGAGACCCATCAAGATGGAGGGCTTGACGTAGTCAACGACCTCTTCGAGAGTCTTGTACTGCTCGGCGTTGTTGTCACGGCGGGCGAAGTAGACCTTGTGGTCGGCGAGCTTGTCGCCGCGGTCAGCGGTGACCAGGCCCTTGGTGTCGACGAGGTAGAAGCAGTTGCGGGCCTCATCCTCAGTCATGCCCTCGCGCATGAAGAACTCGACAATCTGGCGGGCGACGCCGACACCGGCGCTACCGGCGCCGAAGAACACCGCACGGTGGTCCTTGCAGGGCAGACCGGAGCGCTTGACAGCGTTGATGACACCGCCAAGGATGACAGCGCCAGTGCCCTGGATGTCATCATTGAAGCAGGTATAGTGATCCCGGTACCGCTCAAGAGCGGGGAAGGGGTTCTTGAAATCCTCGAATTGGATGACAATACTAAAGAAGCTTTGTTAGTCACGGTTGCAATAGAGGGATCCGAAAAGCATGTGAGAATGAGTCACTTACCCAGGCCAGCGCTCGGTAAGAGCACCCATCAGCTCGTCCAAGAACTCCCGCTCCTCCTCGGCGGAGACCTTCTCGCGGCGGCTACCCATGTACAGCGGGTCCTCCCGGAGGGCCTTGTTACCAGTACCGAGATCGAGAGTCAGAGGCAGGGTGGCCTCGGGACGGATACCTGCACAGGCGGTGTAAAGCGCCAATTTGCCGATGGGGATACCCATACCGTTGATGCCCAGATCACCCAGCCCGAGGATGCGGGAGCCATCGGTGATACATGTGATCTCGACATTTTGCTCGGGCCAATTGGAGATGACCGAAGCGAGATTTCCGCGATCTTCCCAGCTAAGGTACATACCTAAAGCGAGCGTTAGCGTCTCCGGTTCTAATTCGTGTGCGGAGAATATGCCAATTGCGGAGAAAGTGGGCAATTCGCTGCGGAGAAAATTATCCCAGTCATTGGTACATACCTTCAGGCTGTTGGTAGATCTCGGACCACCTTTGGCATGCCTCACCCACCACTGGGGTATAGATCAGGGGGGTCATTTCCTGCAGGGATTATTATGGTTAATTTTCGTCTCCCCAAGATTTCCCGGTCCAATCACATGTCTCGGAGCTCAACGTACCCTGAGGTGGTCTGTCACCAGACGGTAGAACAGGTGCACATTGTTCTTGCGCAGAGTGCTGAGGTATAGGAATTTATCGATGGGGGTGTTTTTCAAACCGAGCTGCGCCAGGCATCGGGTCTTTTGTGTCTCGTAGCCCTCGGAGCGAGGAGGAGTGAGGCCATAGGTGCGCAAGTACTTGCGAATGTATGCAGGGTTGGCGGTGTCATAGTTGGCGTCACTAAGAGATAATTAGTTCCTCCTCTCCATTGCAAGCCTAAGCTTGGTGAGCTTGGTGGGCTCTCTGGTTTGACTTACGCAGGAGAGGCGTGGTTCACATGGGGAGCCGGGGTGGCGTGCACCGGCCGGCTTTGTTGAGTAGGTAGTGAAGGGTATCGAGCCATTGTGATAGAAGTCTTGGAGTTCGGGGTAAAGGTAGAATGGTAGAAAGAAAAAAGGGATCTGGGAGCAGATGCGAGTCTGTTTTTATGTACACGCGACAACATATTAAATTGCCCCTGGGACGTTCGTGCGCTCAAAGACATTCCGACAGGAGTTGACCAGATAATTAACCGGGACGTGTGTCGATGCGACACGGTATAGTGAAAAAGAGTCATGATTTGGAGTCGGGAAGAGTCGGACTCTCGAGAGGGTCACGACCCATGTGGATTCAATTTTCGGTGTTGACAGCGAACCGTTGCGCATGAAAGCCCTTCTGGAATCTGGATCCCTCCAAAAGCTTTTTTTTTTTCTTTTTCTTTTTTTTTTTGTTCGGGAAGCAGATCCAGGTATTAACGTGTGGAGACGGGGAGGCGCCGACTCCGACAAATGCGGAGATACAGTCAAATCAAAGATAGAATATTGAAAGGGTGTCCCGAATGAGACATATAATTGCGGGATTTAAATCCTCATTCCAGCATTACGCAGGGAGCATACATCTCTGTACACCCCCGACTGGAATATTGAAGATGTGAGATGTTGGAAATTGGAGTATCGGAGTTGGAGATCTCCAATTTACACGGTAGACTTCGACCTGGTGATGACAACTACCAAGTAGAATTGTGAATAATGAAATACTGTAACCTGATTGGCTATAAAAGCCGGGGAGGAAAACGCCATCAACTGTCCACTAGTCCTCTTTACTTTCCTAGCTCCACCCAAATCCACAGCTACGAGCTCCCAGAGCCGCAGATAGTGCCGAGGTGGAGTCGAGCTATACCCTAATTAATGTCTATTCGGAGTTTCGGTTTTTTGTTTCTTTTTTATTTCCTTTTTTATTTTTGATTGCATTTTTTTACATTTTTTTTTAATTCGCACTTGAGCTCCTTCAAAAGGCTTCTGGAATGAGTTTGGAAGTGCATGTTCTAAATCGGGGATCACCGAAACTGCCGAACTGCCGTAGAATATCATATGTTGCTACAATAGCTACAGAGTATATGAAGTACTATAGATAGGAAAATGATATCAGCGCCGAGCGGAAGCTCCCCGGTGAGATTTTTAGGCCATTGTTTCGAGTCCGCCGGGTTGGCGATGATATTCGGCCTTGTGAATGGCTCTCGGTCGCCGACAGAACCGGGGGATTTTTGATTACCTATGTTCTCCAGCACGGTTGCGGTATTTTTTTGTCTTCAATTCTTTCAATTGTCAGGTCTGGAACCAATATCCACTGAGCTTCGAAACAATTCGGGTTCGGAATCTAGGGATTTTGATCATTGGCCCCTTGTCCAACCTCTGTGTAAGGCGTAAGGCTTCTATTAATAATTCAATTCCTATGCTCTGCTCTACTGCGTACATATTTTGAATATCTCCGAACTCGTCAGGATATTTCCCACCTGCAGTTCCCAACGTTGGGACAGGCTTGGAAGGGCTTGGCCATTTCCCGCGTGTACTCCGTAGAATGCGGACATTCATGCGTACGCGCACATTGGATATGTCAATTCTCAAATTACATGAGGCATATATGTACATTTTTATTTTGCTTTTTATTTTGTCTCCTTTCTACTGCAGATCACGATTTCCCTGTAATTACTTTTATAGAATGGAGAAATCGAGCAAAGTAAACATCGAAAGCCCGATCTGATTGGAGCTGCCATCGTTGATTGCATAAGAGGCGAATGGCCCGGCTAAATAGCTTTCCCCAGATCGCGTCCCTGAGGATCTAATTTTTTACATAACAGCTTTATTTATTTCTACTTTAAAGCTTCAGGTCTCTTGGTTTTTTATTTGAGAGATTCAAGAATGGCTCTAGGTTTTAATTTTCTTAAATAGCAAACATAGCTCAAACATTTATGTTGCACTGTACAAGTGATGTGTCGTCATGTGCCTAAAACAGGTTCCCAGGCCCCGACTTCTCACATATCATAGAACCTTTAGCTTCATCTTCAACCATCATCCCATACAGTCCAGGGCCTAGTCAATATGCCTTCCGAGACTGAACCGCTCCTGCCTCGCTATGAGGATGACACCTCCCGTCAGCGACGGCTCCATCAAAAGCTACATAGCTACCAGATGGTCCGCGCCATCTCCGAGGGATACATGCCCACAACCGAACAAACCATCGCCAACCTCCGTACTCTTCTTGCCTCCGATGTTCTCAACCTACGTAATCAGGATATCGGCAGCGTCGGTCGCCAGATAGTGCGGGATAGTCGACTGTGGATCCAGGTCTTCATCGAATTTCTGCAGCAGAAGAATGGCCAAGACCAGCTCCAGGAGTTTCTGTGGCGCCTGGCCCGTTCGCGCGTCGAGGTGGACACCGAGAGCGTTTCAAGACAGGCCGCCCACGTGAAGGCGCGGGCAGATACTAAAGCCGGTGGGTCGCGTTTCCCCTCTGCAACTGCCCACCTTCTCTGCTTGGCACATGCAAATCACAAGATGATCGTTCGCTAATCCCTGCGCGTAGCATATGACAGTTTCCGCACGGTCGGTGGTCTGCTTCTGACTAATGCCGATTTCCGTCTTTTCGTCGATGAAATCGTTACCGTCGGCCGCCAGATCTTCGCCGATACCACTGAATCCCTCGCCGAATCTTCCAAGAAAGTCGCGGAACAAGTTAAACCGACCGAGGAAGAAGAGCAGGCGCTACAGGGCGCTGGTACCGATGAGGGCCATGAGCTATCGAAGGCCGAGGTGAAGGGGGAAGTTGCACATGTCGCGGGTGTGGCCGGCGAAGGGATCGCTCAGACGAGCCACGATGCTGTGCAGAGCGCCAAGGAGCATCTCTCAGGCCGACAGAGGGACACATTGCTCTTCCGGTTGAAGCAGGCAGTTCAACGGCTTCGGGAGAGGACGGACTACTCTGACTCGGTGGCGACACTTGCTCAATTGGTAGCGCGCTATGCGAAGATCTACGCCGATGTAGCGGAGAATGCTGCCTCGGTTGCTCAAGAAGACATGGAAGTCAATGCTGACCTTAAGCGGGCGGTCGACAAAATCTGGGACCTCTTGCGGTCATTCGGTAGCGCAGAAGAGTGGGATCGGCTTCAGGAGAAGTTCCACAATGTCTTGCGCCATGCAAACAAAGATCCTGAGTTTGACGATCTGCTCGGAGAGGTCGGAACGTCGTTACAGGACATGCTCACCAACCCCGAGTTCTTCGACTCGGCACCCCAGAAGCTCGATGAACTCAAACAACACTCTGACAAAGTAGGCTCGGGGACGAGCCTACGAAAGGACATGGACGATTTCCTAGCACAGACCAAACTCACACTTAGAACTGTGCCGGAAGACCCAGCCGTCTGCAAGTTAATCAATGCCACTAAGAAGGTCTACCAGGGTGCTTGGGGTGCCTACAACGACAAGAAGGCCGACCTCCCAGCAGACTTGGTGAACGTCTTCCTCCCAGTACTCCTCCGAACAATCCAATACATCCCATTCCCCCGCCTGGAGATCTCTGCTCCAGAAATGGACCTTCTCCTCGAGAATCTAATCCTTGAACCCGGACACACAGTAAACTTCTCCTCCTTCCTCCCCTACCGCATGCATCTCCTCACACGCAATGACATCGACGTGGTAAAAACCCACTCGAAACGCACAGAAACACTCATGAAAACAGCCTTCACAGTCACCGTCCAAGGACTAAACATCAGCGCCGAAGACTTCGGCTACTGGTTCCGCACCCACACGGGCTTCTTCCACCTGAAGGACGAAGGCATAGCAAGCTTCTACCTAGACCGACGCGGCATCGACATCTCCCTAGACATCGAAGTCGGCCGCGGCAGCCTGGAGCAGATATTCTCTTTGCGCGGTGTCCGCGTCTGCATCCACAAGCTCGACTACACAGTCATGCGCAGCAAGTGGAGATTCCTCCTATGGCTGACCAAGCCATTCCTGAAACATCTCGTGCGGCGCGTACTGGAGAAGAAGATTGCAGAGGAGATTGTTGCAGCAACGTTCGCGCTGAATCGGGAGCTAGTCTTTGCACGAGAGCGGCTGCGTGCTGCACGCATCGCTAACCCGCAGGACCTGGCGACTTTTGTGCGGGCTGTCCTTGCGCGCCTTAAACCCGCTGACTCGGATGTAGAGACTAGGATTGGTCTTGAGCCGCTGGATCAGGGTGTCTTTAAGGGTGTTTATGCTCCCGGCAGTATTGTCAAGACCTGGCATGAGGAGGCCACACGCGCGCAGGAGGCTATTGAGGATGGAGATGAGACGCGTGGCCTTGGTCATACGTGGCATAATGATATCTTTAATGTTGCTGGACGAAGCTGATTGCATTATCTGATTTAGGAGTTTGGGGAGTTATTCTACTTAGCTAGCAGTGTATTCATGATTTTATGATGAATCTCAACATACCAGCGGATGTCAGCCTGTACTCGATGGCTTTCCTTTTCCGGTTTAATTCTCACCTCTTACTGTTTTTTTGAGAATGATATACTAGACTAAAAGCCATAATAAAGCCTAATAACGCTGTAGAGGTGGTATAACACATGGGATCCCTTTGGTAAAATCCCTAGCTCCCCTGTTATAATGGGGCGATGTTTGTCTTCATAAAAGCTATATAGACATAGCTGATGGCAGTAAATGCTCTCCTTTTTTTAAAAAAAAATCCCATGGCCACTCCTACACATAGGTGCTACGTGCAACTCTCAACTAGACCGGGATCTCTCACTAGTTTCACCTGCACTTTTCACTGCCTCGACCCCCGCACCCCGCAGAGCCTCAAACCCTTTCTAAGCTTATCCCATCTCCAAGGCTGCCAGACCTGATCCATTTAGAAATCAACATTATTCACTATATCCGAATGTCATGTCTGATCAAATAGAGGTATAGAACCAGAAAATCAATCCTCGACCTGATTATTATGAGCTCATCATATAGTAGGTCACAACACAGCAAGTGGAAGATGATTCCACCGTTCAGATCCGTGTTGGAGGCATTGAATATTCCATTGACATGACGAAGATTCCATATTTTTATTCATTTCTCAGGTTTCAACGGTCTTCCGGTCAAGATTCATCCCAGCTGCCCACGCACGACGAGATACCTTTTTTCAATGTGATCGACGAAGGAATCAAAAATGGCTTTCGCCAGTTCTTCCGTCTCATGCCCACCAAAATTAATGATTATCGTATTCTTTGCGAAACTCTCGAATTTCTCTGTGTCGATGTCCTATCCGGACGCGGCATCAATTCTATCATGGGAGACCTCAGGAGTGGCAAGCACTATTGGAATGAGCAAATATTCAAAACCTGGGCACGAGACTCGGCTTTTCGGCTTCTATACCTGTTTCTTCTAGGTGACTTTGGGTCTGATGTCAAGGATAGCAACAGGGCCTATAATGCAGCTCTATTCGTCGTCTCCCATTGCGGGATTTTCGAACGCAGAACGAGAAAGATGGTCCGGGAGGCGTATGAGGAGCGGTTTGATGTATCGGCTAAACAGCTACGTGAGCTTGATAAGTGGGCATTCCATCCTCCTGCCTCTGAATATTCAGAGGATGATTTGACTACCGAGTCGGAGGATCTGAGTTTTGAGTTTGATTATGATTATTACTCGGATCGGTCGTGAGCAGTTGCGTGCGGTGTTCTGGCTATTGCGTATACGTACCCGGCGTGTATAATCTACGTCAGAGAACCCATAGGTTTATGTATGCGGACCAGAATTGATGATATAAAGGACTCTGGTATTTCTGCTATGAAAAAAGTAATTTTTTTCAGGAACATAATCAATATAAATAGGACCTGGGTTCATTTCTCTTCCGGCATACATCTCGATATATATATATATATGGAATTGAACGATGCAACAGACGATGTAATCACACCAAGCAGCAACACATGATAAAAACCCCTCAATTACATTATCCGAGCGCAAATACTAATTGTACATCGAAATACACTCTTCAACTCTACATCACTCATTGTTTATTCCCAAATATATCGTGGTCATATTTTACACGTGACCCGGGCGAACATTGTTCCTTTTTTAGGCCACCTAATGTAGATCTAGCACAATGAAGCCGCGGAGCCAACACCTCTAATCTCTAATTCTTTACTCTCTGGCATAAAGCTCGACGGAGGAGAACACCTGCGTTACCAGAGATTAAATACTCTATGTCGAATAATTAAACATCACAACAAACTCACCAAGACCCTAGCTCGTCGAAGCTTCACCTATCTACCTCGGTCTACACAAACAAAAAGCTCCACATCCCCCCCCGAGCGCACGAGCAGCTGCTCGCGCAGCTCCCCACCGCCGAAATGCAATTATTACGACTCCTAGTCACGATAGCCGTGGTGCTATTCTCCGTCGTTGTAATCGCCGCCGAAGATTACTACAAGGTGCTTGGTCTCGCGAAGTCCGCATCGGAGAAGGACATCAAGCGCGCATACAGAACACTAAGCAAGAAATACCACCCTGACAAGAATCCGTGAGTGCAAATACTATTCTCTTACTTCTATTTATCCCTGATTTTCTTATTGTTTCGCACATGGTACACATTACACACAGCACAATTGCTAACCCACCTTTTTAGCGGCGATGATACGGCCCGCGAGAAATTCGTCGAGATCGCAGACGCCTACGACGTGCTCTCGACTAGTACACTGCGCAAAGTATACGACCAATACGGCCACGACGGGGTAGAGCAACACCGCAAAGGCGAAGCAGCCGGCGGCAGCCACGACCCATTCGATCTGTTCTCACGATTCTTCGGCGGGGGCGGACACTCCGGCCACGCGCCTGGACACCGCCGCGGACCGGACATGGAAGTGCGGGCGGCGCTTCCACTACGTGATTTCTACAATGGACGTGAAATCAACTTCCTCGTTGAGAAGCAGCAGATATGTGATTCGTGCGAGGGAACAGGATCTAAGGATCGACATGTTGTGACTTGTGACCGGTGCGGTGGACGTGGAATGGTTATTCAGAAACATATGCTTGCACCGGGGATGTTCCAGCAGGTGCAGATGCAGTGTGATACGTGTCATGGGCAAGGGAAGAAGATCAAGAATCCTTGTCCTGTTTGTGCAGGGAGTCGGGTTGTCAGGAATCAGGTTGAGACCAGTGCTACCATTGAGCCTGGGATGGGTAAGGGGACCAGGCTTGTGTTTGAGAACGAGGCCGATGAGAGCCCTGACTGGATTGCTGGGGATTTGATTGTTATTTTGGATGAGAAGGAGCCTGAGCTTGGGGAGTCTGAGGAGGAGAGGACGGATGGGACGTTCTTCCGGCGGAAGGGGAAGGATCTTTTCTGGAAGGAGACTCTTTCGCTGCGCGAGGCGTGGATGGGTGGCTGGAGTCGCAATGTTACGCATCTTGATGGACATGTTGTTCATCTTGGACGTGGACGTGGTGAGGTCGTGCAACCATTGGCTGTTGAGACTGTTGCCGGGGAGGGCATGCCACATTACTCCGAGGGTCATTTACATGATCACCATGATGAGAATGATGAGGCGGGAAATCTATTTGTTGAGTACACTGTTGTTCTGCCTGACCAAATGGAGAGCGGGATGGAGAAAGACTTCCATGCTCTTTGGGAGAAGTGGCGCAAGAAGATCGGAGTTGACTTGGCGAAGGATTCTGGGCGACCGGTTGCGCCTCCGCCGGCGGAGGATAAGGACGAGTTGTGATTACCTTTCCAAGCCTTGTTATTTTTGAATCCCCCTTTTTTTTTATGGCCATTGTATATTGATTGCATCTGTTGATTTGCGTGCATTTAAGGCTCTGGATTAGATCAGACCCCTTGGCTTGTATTGAAATATTGGATATAATATACAACAGATGGCTGCATCTTCCAAGGGGTCTTCCTCGATTAGAGTAGATATAGAATTGGAGTCCAATTGGCCCGACATGTACGGAGTATAGACGACCGAGATACTGCTCGTGCCGCCCTAATACGAGAAGCAAATTGACGATCTGTAGATCTGGAAGATCTGGGACTGAATTTTGTACCCGATGCCCAGATTCTGATTCTGCCCAACACTGTTTGGTCGCGATGCAGACCCCTCACATGATGGGTTTGTGGCGTAGGAGGCAAACAAAGAAAGACGGGGCGTATATCGCATAGATCTAGCGCGATGGTCTAACTGGAATAGGCTTAGAAGGTCAGGGGTTGGATGTTGTAGTTAGCGAATAAGCTTAGTTTACTTCCGACTACACACATCACTTCCTTGACCGGTATTTCAAGTTGCCCGTGTTCGATGTGTCTGATATCAATGTGCCGGGTGTTCGTTTGGAGGATCGGTTATGCTCTCTATGCGCAAACAAGTCTAGAAGCATCCACTTCGCGGGCACAAGCGCCAGTTGGATTATGTAGGGTTAAGGGGCTCTTCCGGTCCTAAGGGTTTGGTGTACTGTTTATGGTGTGGGCTTCATTTCATACCCTGTATATTGTTGTTTTGTTGATATCTTCAGGTATTTAGATAAAGACATACGGAAAGACAGATTGTTCACGGATACAATAGATCTCAGATCCCTTGAATAGTCCTCCCTAGGAATACCCTGGTCCTTAGAAACACCCCAAACGGCATGGGAATAAAGATTCGAACAACGCGTCAATTTGTCAAAGTTTCACGTGTCAAGTCAAAATTAAAATTGACAATTCTCCGCCAAGTGTATATTGTACGAAGTAAATAATCCCAAAAATTAGACATAAACCTGGGTTCAACCGATATCCTAAGCCCCAATATAGGCAAGGATATACATCGCTACTGCGCCACGGACCCGTCAAGGATCTACAAAGGTTTGTAGATTAGAATTAGACGATGAACAGTTCACGCCATTATATAGGGTTATTTTAGAAGATTTGCCGGCATGACATCGCGAACTATAGTTCTAGTCTCCACTCTGGTGCCTCCATATGCACTCCGTATGCCGGCTGTCGTATATTGTATGTATATGTGTATGTGTATGCACCATGCACTCTCAATCATTCTGGGAAACCCCAACTGAATGGAAATTCCAGCCAATGCATAACGTCCACGTTCAGACCGCGCCTAAATGCAGCCATAAGCAGACTTTAGGGACGGGTTGAGGGCACGCGGACCCGGAATCCAAGCGTGGGTTGTCCGGAGATGATAGTGACATGGTATATGTGAAAAATTGTGAAGGTCGGAAACGTATTTGTCAATTACGACTAAATTTTGATTGATGCAGTATCTACTAGGGTGTGTAGGGTGCATCGTGCATCAAAGAACGTTACGGGGATCGCTTTGATAGCGGCATTTGTGGAGTCCTTTTAGATCATGAAAGTATGTTCTCTGATGTTGGCTCTTTCCTTAATCGGCAATGCCCCCGGGACTGGGAGGATTCAAACGGATAGATCGGCCATTGCGGGCTGCGGTGTGGGATTTTAGGATTTTATTTTTGCTTTATCTGCAATAGTTTTTGATATTTTTAAGATTTTTCTAGTGTGTTTACTAGGGTGCTATACCTCTAAATTCAAAATTGGATTCATTTATATTGATTGACAAATAACTAGCTTTGAATAGGACTTCACTTATAATGGATTCTACATGGGTTATAAGCTATCTATTAACCTGGGGTCGATCTGCTGCAGTAAGGGAATATACAAGACTGTTGACCGTTCATTTTCCAACCTCGGAAGTTTCTAGGGCAAGCAGACGAATGGGACGCACTTTATTAGTATTAGGGTAACCAATCAGCGGACGATATAACATGTTAGCGCCAAAAAAAAATATCCAGGCCGAATTTGACAGCGATCGACAAACATTGGGGTGCAGGTAACGGCGATGCATCTCCCCGCAGGTCTCGGAATTAATGGCCTTGCATCCGAACTGGTAATTTGAGAATTTTGATGTAGCTATCTATCTACATCTAGATCTATATACACAGGTAGAAAGCCCATGATATCCGAAAATTCCTGTTTTTTTGATTTGACAACGGGTCCAGAGGTCCACTTCCGAGATCATTACATGAATACATCATAATTTTCAATACCTACAGGTAGTCCTTGTATAGGCCAATAATGCTTATAGATTGTATAGATTTGCCGTTCATTGTTGTGAATACATAGTACATACAGGAAAAACAACCCTGGAAGCCCTTGACATTCGAAATATACCAACGAGCTGTTATCCACTTTTTTTAATGAACGCAACCAAATTAGGAAGCTCGCGAAGATCAGTAGAAATGCTCGTGCCCACTGGCCAGACTGCCAACCTTGAACTTCCAACAGTGCTTTTGGCGCCTTCGTCCAGTTTCCCTTAGCCTCACATTAGTAGTATGGCTTCCTATCGAGGTTGATATATGAGGGGGGTGCGCAGTAGTGTTTGCTATCAAAAATCTTCATCTTGTCTCGATCCTCAATTGTCTTATATCCTCGCTCTATCCTCACTTTGTTCCATTCGTTGCCCACTCTTCAGACTGTCTTCTTGATATTTCCTCTTTGTGTCTCTTTCTTCGTCTATCTTTCCGATCTAGACCCAGATCTATTGGCATATCATCCCATCCCTTATTAGTATCAGAAAGATGGGTCCCCTCTCGCTGGAAACCGGCTCCAGCGGCGATGGAGTCATACCTTCTGATGCTCTGGAACCCATCGCTAT